ATAACAAGAGAAGATGGAAAAGAACAAGAGAACATAGAAAAAGAGAAAAGGAAAAAGGAGTAAGAGGGAGAATAGCCGCAGCTCTTGATTGCGACACAAGGCTTAGTTTGGTTTGGAAATTAATCCTAGGGAGAGATGCTATAGTCATTTATTTGGCTCCAGAGTAACTAAGGGAAGTAGGTTGTCTGGCATTATTGTTGAATGTGGTTCACAAGGAAAGCTTCTCAGATTCCATGAGTTGGTGGCATACGTTAAAAGTCATTTTCTCTTCTGGGGCTTTCTTAACAATATTTTAATTGGTGACTGCCATTTACTTAATTTTTGGCTCAAAATGAAGGGCTTTCACATTAATGGTCTTATCTATATTCTTTACAAGTTTCTAAGGAAAACGTGTAGCACAATGTCCAAAAAACTTGTGACATGGAAGTGTGAGTGATTGACGTCTCTGCATAGTTTGAGGCATTAAATAGAAACTTGCACCTGCGATACTTCATTTCCGTATCAAAACAGAATTAGGTTTGCTAGGGCATGTGCTGATTGAATTTGGTGTAATTGATAAGGTGGATAAATGGCAAGTGCAGTAAATGAGCACCGGCCGTGTAAGAGAATCCGGTGCCCAAGGGCTATAGTGAAAGCTAAAACTGAGATACATTGGTGGTCATTCAAGGAATAACATGCGGCACTGATGGTGAGAAGGAACATTGACACTGATGAATTGTCTAAAATAGAAAATGAAAAATCATTGAAAGATATGTCTGACTTTACTGTTTCAGAAAACCTACATAACAGACAGGCACAGTTCAGCATGCATGTGTATGTGTCTGAGTGGGTGAATGAGGGTGCGTGTTTGCTATTCATGATGATGGTTCCACTTCCATTTTTTTTTTCTGCAAATCAGAAATCAGCAGCTTTCTAAAGCCTTGCACAGCATTCCGGCATCAATTGCAAACAAAGGCGAATCAGGGCATCGCAATGGATTTCCGCGCAAGGCAACTCAAGCATACATCATTCATCATTCGGAACAAGAGCTGAGGCAGTCCATTTTATAATTTGCATGCTAATTTACTTGTTTTCCTAGTTAAGTTGTTAATTAATTAGGGTTTTGTACTTATTCGGACTGTATTATTTATTCGGACCCTCCGAGTGAGGGCACAATTGTAATAAGTGTGCGTGTGTGTGATGTATGTTTTCTAACCCCACGTCTTTACTGTATTATTTATTCGGACCCTCCGAGCGAGGGCACAATTGTAATAAGTGTGCGTGTGTATGATGTATCTCTTCCAATCCCACGTCTTTCTCCCTTTTATTTACCAGCTTATGATGGTTAGATTAGGGCATGTTTCAATTAGCATACTTATGCTTGCATGTTTGCATCATTCATCTCTCAGCGCATCATACTAACTGCATTTGTATTTCAATTCCAAATTAAACACGTGTTAGTTGTAGCATCATCATATGCCATGTTTAGAATAGCCGAGCCTATTGTAGTTGCATTTTGCATGTGTTGCACTAGGCATTTCTGTATAGTTAGGATCATGCATGGATTTCTGACATAGCTTTTGTTTTGGCTTGGAGTACTCGGTAAGTGTTTATGCTTTAGCATCCTTGCATGTGTGTGAGTGACTGCCATGATAGCATGCTTACCATGAGACTATGTGCTTATGTGATATAACTGTCTGAATGCCTGTGGGTGAAGGTTGGGTTATTTGAATTGGAACATTTCATTGATTGCGCGTTTTAAGCCCACTCGAGGGTGGCAAATTCACTTCTTAGCCTACTTGCGAGTACCACCATCAAACCATTTTCAAATAAAACAAACACGAAATGTTTTGTTCCAATTCAGGCGACCTAGTCTATACTTGTATGCTGTGCGCATCACATAGTAAATCTAGGCAATAACCGGAATAAGGACGCATAATGTTTTCAAAACTAAATATCATGGTTAGTAGAAGCCGATCTTTGATCAGGCGAGCGGGGGTGCTCACGAAGTGACCTACCCCAATCGTACCCAAGTTCCCGAGCCGAGGCAACTTTGGTGATGACGGACACGTGGCCTTAGGCAAACGAGTTAGGGTTTCTTAAATTCCCCAAAATAAAATATTTAGGTGGCGACTCTGTATCTGGCAAAGCAGTCCATGTTTGGCACTTCTTTCAAAAAAAATCTGTTTTAAAAAACGATTTGCCGGATTTGGACTCTTTGAAAATTCACTGGTCTTGCATTACACTCTGCGATATTGGATACAGGACCGTGACAATTGAGTCCGAACTGTAGTAAGGCCCAAGAGCGCGTCTACACATGTTCAATCCAGACTAAAATCTTTCATCAAATTCAAATTGATGAGAATTTGGTAAAAATAGTGTTCTAACCGTTACACCAAATTGGTATCAAATGAATAGAGTACTACTTTTTTTTATCATATTAAGGAGTGTTTAACAAATTTCGTAGGTGACCATTAGTGTACAACTAGATTGGGAAAAATTTGAAGAAAATTTACATTAAGCCAAACGACTGCTCGAACATCCTTCCGTTTGTATTTCTGGCCGACCGGTTATTTGATGAAAATTAAAATTTAGCGTTAAAACGCTTGGTATCAGATAAAACTTTTAGTCCAAATCTTTACTCAAATTTGATAAAAAGAAAATATAAAAAAATAAACGTTAGAGATGCTCCAAAATCAAAGTTAGTGTAAATTATATTAAATTTATAGGATTTATTATATTTTCTCTAAATGTCAAGAAAAGTCTATGTAAGTTACTTTAGTTTGAGCAAAATTTCACTTTGATATTTAGAATTTCAATTTGAACCTTATATTTTTAATTTTGTTTCAATATTGACCCCCCATCATGCAAAATTAGATTAGATCAAAGTAGAATTAAACAAAAAAACTACAAAGGCTCCATCGCAATATTTTTTAATTAAAAATGTTAAACAATGTTGATTACATTATAACAAAATTAAAATTAAAAGTACTAAAGTGAAACTTCTCCCAAACTACAATGATAATTGTGTAATTAACCCATAAGTTTCAAACCCCCGATAAACCCTTGATCCCCCAAGTTCTCACCGCTCCTCTCTCTAAGCTTCAATGGCTCCCTCTTCTACCTCCCTCTCACCATATTGAACTCCAAACCACCCACACCTAACCAACCATACCCACTCGCAGATTACCCACAAATGGTTTTTCTCAGAACCCTCCGTTCTCGCCATTTCCACACACTCCTAAACCCCCCAAACCCTCCTCCTTCCCAATACTTCAAAAACCCTACAACCCAATTCTTCCACAGACCCATTTCGCTTTCCGCACAATTCAAATCCGAATCGATCAGCAATCAACAGACAAAGAAGCCCTTGCACGTTCTGTTCAAGGAAGCCGTTGGATTATCCAAAAAAATCGAACCCATTGAAACCCAGAACGAACCCGAAACCAATGAATTGAAGAAGAGATTGAGAAAATTGGAGGAAGAAGTGAGGAGGTTGAAAGAGAATAGTAGTGAGAAAGTTAAAGTAGAGAATTTGAAGAAAAAGAAGATTGAGAATGATGAGTCTAGTTCTAAGAGCTTGTACGCCTTGTTTGCGAATAAAGGAGGTGATAGTGAGAAATCTAGGGTTGTGGAGTCTTTGAGGATGGAGGATCAAATGGTGTACAAAGAGCTTTCGCTCGAATTGGCTCTATTTGTGAAGCATTTGTACAAAGAAGGCTACTTTGTTAATGCTAATTTCTTGCCCAATAACAAGTTTGATATTACTTGTTTTGAGAACAGTTATGGCCGTGATTTTATTAGGTATGCCGCAGAGAAGTTTGGCAAGGATAACCAAGAAATTGTAAAGTAAGAACAATTCTTTGCCATCACTTTTTTCTTTATATCTATAGTTTGTTGTATGTTTCCCATTACATTAATGTAATAGTTTATCTACTTTTGTTTGAATGGTGATGATTGTTTTCTAGCATTAAGCTTTCAAATATTAATGTCAACAATTAAAAATAGGTCTGAAAACAAGCCGAGTAGTAGTAGTAGTAGTAGTAGGTTGTTTAAACTTGGTTTAATAATCATACGAGCTTGAACTTATGTTCAAGTTTGGTTTGTTTACATAAGGAGCCGATCTCGAACGAGATTTTAACAAGCCAAACACAAGTCGAGTTCGAGTAGCTTGGATTTTTATAGTATATATAAGCTTATCGAACCAAGTAATAGGTTATTCAAGATTGGCATGAAAACTTAACAAGCTTAAAATTGTGTTGAATTTTGGCTTGTTTACGTAATAAGTCGAACTCAAGTAGCTTGGTTCGTTTAACAGCCCTAGAAATAATGTTGGTTTTAAACCTTGACTTTATAAACCTATATGTGAAAGAACCTTTTATGGGCTGATGTGTGGTCTGATTAATTTTGTTTGAAGATAGAAGTGGGGATTCTGTTTGAAAATAGTTGTTCAAAATAAATTCCACGAAGTTGATTCGTGGTGTCCCTTTATGCAGAAGTCTTAGTCTAGCTGATCATGACATGCTTTACTGAAGAAGATATGAAAGTGATGCAACCTATGTTCTATAAATAGTTCTGGCATTTTCTTTGGAGAATGAAATATCAGTGAATCTGGCTTAAATAGATAGTTAAATCTCCATTCACTCACAAGGAATTGACAATTAACAATGGTCAATAAAACTGAGAACATGCTGAAAATTTCTAAGACATGCAATAAACTTAATTCTAATGTTTTTAAAATGTCACAATTTACTTCAAGCAACATAACCATTGACATGTAACAACCACAAAATTAAAGAGAAGAAAAATTGCCATAACTTGAAGCAACACCAAATCTAAAATTATAGTTGAAATTATTCAGGCTTCTATTGCAAAATCATACATAAGGGTGGAACAGAGTGATCGGATGTAAACAATAGGAAACACGATTAAGAGAGATGGGACAAGAATGATTAGACAACAAGATTGTAAGTGGGAAAACAATGATCAAGGGATAGAATGGAAGGGGGTGAGCAATGTAGAGGAAGTAGGATTTATCAAAAAAAAAAAAATTTAGTGGAAGTAGGAAACTCACCAAGATTTATAACAAGAGAAGATGGAAAAGAACAAGAGAACATAGAGAAAGAGAAAAGGAAAAAGGAGTAAGAGGGAGAATAGCTGCAGCTCTTGATTGCGACACAAGGCTTAGTTTGGTTTGTTTTGGTTTGGAAATTAGTCCTAGGGAGAGATGCTATAGTCATTTATTTGGCTCCAGAGTAACTAAGGGAAGTAGGTTGTCTGGCATTATTGTTGAATGTGGTTCACAAGGAAAGCTTCTCAGATTCCATGAGTTGGTGGCATATGTTAAAAGACATTTTCTCTTCTGGGGTTTTCTTCACAATATTTTAATTGGTGACTGCCATTTACTTAATTTTTGGCTCAAAACGAAGGGCTTCCACATTAATGGTCTTATCTATATTCTTTACAAGTTTCTAAGGAAAACGTGTAGCACAATGCCCAAAAAACTTGTGACATGGAAGTGTGAGTGATTGACATCTCTGCATAGTTTGAGGCATTGAATAGTAACTTGCACCTGCAATACTTTGTTTCCGTATCAAAACAGAATTAGGTTTGCTAGGGCATGTGCTGATTGAATTTGGTGTAATTGATAAGGTGGATAAATGGCAAGTGCAGTAAATGAGCACCGGCCGTGTAAGAGAATCCGGTGCCCAAGGGCTATAGTGAAAGCTAAAACTGAGATGCATTGGTGGTCGTACAAGGAATAACATGCGGCACTGATGGTGAGAAGGAACGTTGACACTGATGAATTGTCTAAAATAGAAAATGAAAAATCATTGTAAGATATGTCTGACTTTACTGTTTCAGAAAACCTACGTAACAGACAGGCACAGTTCAGCATGCATGTGTATGTGTCTGAGTGGGTGAATGAGGGTGCGTGTTTGCTAGTCATGATGATGGTTCCACTTCCATTTTTTTTTTCTGTATTGTTTCCTTGTTTCCATCTGTTAGCTCCTTCAAGTCTTATGAACTTAAGTTACGGATGCACAGATGGTTGTCAGCCAGTGACTTGAAAAAGGTGGCCCTCTTTGGATGTCCTTCGCTTGGAAGGAAAAATGTCTTTTCTGCTAAAAGCTTGCGCAATTTTTTCAGAATTCAAGAAGACACCGTAAGTCAATTGTCTCATTGAAAAATTTCACCTCTCTAATCTTTCTGGTCTTATCTACATATTCGTATTGCTTTATTTTGGAAGAGACATTATTTTTATTTTTATTTTTATTCTTTTGTCATTGTTACATGATCACATTCAGGTATGCAGTAAATGCGTCTTGAAATCATCATGCAAGTTTGTGAATCAGAGTGTATGGAAAGGCAATAACAAAAATTTGAATTTGGCTGTTGTAATGAGGGTTATAATTTTGTACGCCATGGAATCTGTTCCTCCACAGTTGGTAGTGCCTGACGAGATAAAGGCTTCTGTTAGTGTATTGCTGAAGGAGGTTCTGAACCTAAGCCAAACTCATGCATAAAGCTTTTTGACGGTTCCATATATAAAGTGGTCTTTCAGGTGCTTTAAATCTGGATTATTGTTCAGACTACTTTGTTCCTTGATAGGTTTGTTGGTTTATAGACAAGTAAACTGATTTGCTTTCATTCTCACAGTATTGTCAGTATTCTGATGCACAAATCTGGGAGATGAAGTGTGATGATCAAATTTCTACGTTGTTAATAACTCATGCGGAGAACGATGCGAAAGATTGTTGTGAGTTACATTACATCTATGAATGATATTCGAGGGGTTGGTCATTTTGCTTGCCAAAAATATGTGAAAAGTTGCTCCTCTGTTGGATTGTGGAAGTGTCATCTTGGATTGGCTGGTTAGTGAACTTCATAAATGCTTTAGTTATTTATGTCTTATCAAAAAAAAATTGGGCATTCAACAATTGAGTAGAGCTTTTGAGATGCATATGTCAACTTATTTCTTTATTATATATGAATGGCCATTTTATCCATTTTAAATGTATAATGTTGTCAATGCATACAATAAAATCTGAAGTATTGGGTACTAAAGTTAAATTTCATGATTGAAGATCAGAATTGGTTTCTCTTTTTACCCCTCTTTTTCCTTTTTAAATCCCGAATGATATTATTCTAGCTTGTTCATCCCTGAAGTATTGAGTAAATAAATACTGAGAAAATAATCTTTCGTACATACAATGTAGTTGGGTCCCTCATTTTGATGATTTTGGTTCTGGTCTTTCATGTTATTGGGTCTATGATTATGTCCAAAATGATGTAAATTACAATGCAATGTAGCTATGATTTACTTTTTAAAAATGTGTGATAGTAAAATTTACCATGATGCAATTGATGCTAATTTTGCCTCCCTAGGTTATTGAAAAGAATCAAAAAGAAAAAAACTTGACGATTAGATTGTTAAATTTTTAAGGGGAAAATCTTACCGTGGTATTGTAAATTACTTCATTAATTTTAATCCTATCAATTTTGTTCTTTAATTTTTCATATTGTATCAATTTACTCTG